CCCCCCCCCCCAATAGCTAGCAATCCAAAACAGTCCAGTGGAGCCTGAGTGGTGGGTGCTGCCTTCTGACACACGTCCGGTGACGTCAGGGTGTGTGTCATATGCAAATGAGTTATGCTAATGAGCTCCTGCACCTCCTCTTCTCCAAAATGACCCGAGACGTTAAGAATGTCAGAAGAGAATTGCTGAATCAGACCAATAGTCCAGCCTCCTGTCTCACACAGTGGCCAACCAGTTCCTCTGGAGGGCCAACAGCAGGGCAGAGAGGCCGAGGCCTTCCCTTGAGGTTGCCTTTTGGTTCTGGGAATCAGAGGTTTATTGTCTCCGAACAGGGAGGTTCCCCTCAGTCACCAGGGCTAGTAACCACTGACAGACCTATCCTCCAGGAATCTCGCGAATCCCCTTTTAAAGCTGTTTGTTCCCGTGGCCATCACTACATCCTCCGGCAGCAGATCCCACGTTTTAATCGCGATCTGTGTAAAGAAGTCTTTCCTTTTGTCCGTCCTGAACCTCCTGCCCGTCAGCTTCGCTGGATGCCCTCGGGTTCTGGCATTTTGGGAGAGGGAGGGACAGTTCTCTTCGTCCACTCTCTGCACCCCGTGCATCATTTTATGAATCTCTCTCGTGTCCCCCCTTTGTCGTGTCTTCTCTAAACTGCACAGTCCCAGCCTCTTCGGCCTCTCCTCCTAGGGAAGGGGGGCTCCAAGCCCCTCATCATCTGGATCGCCTTCCTCTGTGCTTTCCCCAGCTCTGCAGTGTCCTTTCGGAGATAGGGTGACCAGAACTGTGCACACCAGGGGGTTTTTGCAGAAAAAGCCCAGCAGGAACTCATTAGCATAATAGGCCACACCCAACAGCAGAAACTCATTAGCATATTAGGCCACACCCCCGACATCACAGCTCATTGGCATATTAGGCCACGCCCCTATGTTGCCAGAAGGGTGGTCATCCAGCCACACCCACCTTTTGCTTCTTATTCTGTTTACCTTGTTTGTTGTCAAAACCCAGGGCTTTTTTGTAGCAGGAACTCCTTTGCATGTTAGGCCACACACCCCTAATGTAGCCAATCCTAATGAGTTTCTGCTGTTGGGTGTGGCCTATTATGCTAATGAGTTCCAACTCGGAAGCCAGCCGGAACTCCGTTCCTGTGCGTTCCTGCCCAAAAATAGCCCTGGTACACACTATTCCAAACAGGGCTGGCCCACCCACTAGGCAAACTAGGCATTCGCCTAGGGCGGGCTGATCATGAGGGCGCCAAAACTGCACCCCCCCCGCCCCTGTCAAAACCACTGCCCACCCACCCCCAGCCCGGAGCACCTCTTTCTCTCCCCTGCCTTGCAGCGTGCTTTGTGGTTTTTCTGTTTGAGAGAGAAAATCAGAGATTGTATTACTTGTTCTCACGATTTAAAAAAATAGCAAGTTCAAATTTTGTGTTTTTCATTCTTCCTAAATGCATTTATGTTTGAAAATTGGTGGGTGCAGGGGGAGGGCACCAGAAGATAGCCTCGCCTAGTGTGCAAAAAAGCCTGGGGCCGGCCCTGATTCCAAATGAGGCGACACCATAGATCTATACAGGGGCCAGTTTGTTGTCGTGGTTAAGTGTGTGGACTCTAATCTGGGAGAACCGGGTTTGATTCTCCACTCCCCCACATGCAGCTGCTGGATGATTTTGGTAGAGATGTAACATTTCCGGAAATGTTGAAGCTTGGGGGGGGGGAAACGTTTCCCCCCCGGGGGGAAACGGAAATTTTTGGAAAAATTGAAAAAAATGTTTGTTTACTTTGATTTTTATCCCGCCCTCCCCGCCAGGCGGGCTCAGGGCGGCTTACAATATATTTGATGGGCTCAGCCGCTCATGGTGCAGAGAAGAGTTTCCAGAAGAAAGCATGCAACAGATGGCATGCGCTCAATACTAGCTATAGTGCGAACCAAAGGAGCGGCGATGGCAGGCCTAGGTTGCTTTGCCATTTCTTAAGGCTTCATCAGGCTGCTTTTCTTTAGTGCTGGAACCCAACCCAGCTCTGGCAAGACTCAAAATGACATGAAGTCTACAAGTATGTTCCAAGTAGCTAGGAACCAGGCTCCGATCACCAGGTTGCTTTGAAAGTCATTCTGTTACTTTAGGAACATAAAATATGACTGTGGACATTTTTACTTGGCATGAAATTATCACAACTAGCCTATTACAAATATAGTGTATCCAAAGAATTATTACAAACAGAATACCCACCCACATGCCAAAACAAAACTGAAACCTTTTTCGTTTCCTGTGACAATAGCACCTCCTAAAGGAAGAAATGCATCTTGTTCTTGCATTGGAGAGTTCAGTTTGTAACCTAGGACTCGCTTGTCCTCAGTGGACAGAAATTAGATCAATCTGATACCATACATATTTTTTAGAAATGATTTGGAAAATATTTGAACACCTTGTCTTAAAATATTTTATTCATCATGTTAAAATAAAATGTTCCATAATCATTTTTTTTTCTTTTTTCCCATTTTTGGAAGAAGAAAAAAGGCTTCAGGAAAAAAATGGAAATAAACCATCCACCTACCCCCGAATTTTTCCGTTTTTTTCCCAGGCCATCACATCTCTAGATTTCGGGCAAGCCATAGTTCTGTCAGAGCAGTTCTCTCAAGGGTAGTTCTCGAGAGAGCTCTCTCAGCCCCGCCTCCCTCACAGGGTGTCTGTTGTGGGGAGGGGAAGGGAAAGGAGTTTGCAAGCCGCTCTGAGATTCCGAGTGAAGGGCGGGGTAGAAATGTAATCTCCTCCTCCTCCTCCTCAGTATCTGCTGTTTTATTCTCAATCCCTTTCCTAATAATCCCTAACATGGAGTTTAACCAGGACTTTTTTGGTAGAAAAAGCCCAGCAGGAACTCATTAGCATAATAGGCCACACCCAACAGCAGACATTCCTTAGCTTATTAGGCCACACCCCTGACAGCACAGCTCATTAGCATATTAGGCCACACACCCCATGTTTGCAGAAGTGTGCTCATCCAGCCACACCCACCTTTTGCTTCTTATTCTGTTTACCTTGTTTGTTGTCAAAATCCAGGTCTTTTTTGTAGCAGGAACTCCTTTGCATGTTAGGCCACACGCCCCTAACGTAGCCAATCCTCATGAGTTTCTGCTGCTGGGTGTGGCCTATTATGCTAATGAGTTCCTGCTGGGCGTGGCCAACTCGGGAGCCAGCCGGAACTCCATTCCTGTGCGCTCCTGCCCAAAAATAGCCCTGAGTTTAACATCGGGTTGACATTGAACCGTCTGCTATTCACGGCGCTTTTCACCGTCTCCTTTCCAGGTCGGGACCAACGGGATAATTTCCACTCAGGACTTCCCCCGGGAGACTCAATACGTGGACGATGATTTTCCCACGGACTTCCCGGCCATCGCTCCTTTCCTGGCTGACATTGACACCGGCGGAGGGAGAGGCAAAATCTACTACCGCCAGGATGACTCCCGGGAGGTGCTGGATCGGGCCGCCCGGCTGATCTGGGCTGGGTTTCCTGACGCCGCGGGCTTTGTCCCCCACCGCGCATTCGTGGCTACCTGGGAGGATGTGGGGGCGTACGAAGAGGTCACCCGGAACTCGGAGCCCTCCGAACAGGTAAGAGAATTCTGCAGTGAGGTCTCCTGGCACAATTTTTGTTTGTGGACGGATCCGCCGCTGTTGCGTTCCAGACTGCTGGGGGTTTTCATAGAAGATTTTTTAAAAATCGAGGGGGGAGGGCCAGTCATTGAATGTGGACAGCTGTTAGTGCAATTGGAAAGGAAATGGGAAAACAGTCAAATGGTACGTTACGCGCAGCATCTTCGAGACCAGCAGGATTTTCCAGGGGAGAAGCTTCCATGAATCAAGACTCACTAAATAGATAAGCTGCTAGATCGCTCTTTGAGAGCCAGTTTGGTGTAGTGGTTAAGTGCGCGGACTCTAATCTGGGAGAACCGGGTTTGATTCCCCACTCCTCCGCTTGCACCTGACTGAACGACCTTGGGCAAGCCATAGTTCTGACAAGAGCTGTTCTTGAAAAAGAGCACTTTCTGTCAGAGTTCTCTCAGCCCCACCTACCTCACAGGGTGTGTGTTGTGGGAAGGGAAAGGAGTTTGTAAGCCCCTCTGAGACTCCCTTGGGTAGTGAAGGGTGGGGTATAAATCCAGTCTCTTCTTCTTCTTCTTGATATTAAAATCAAAAGCGGCACCATGATACAAATTGATTAAATCGGACCACACTAGAACTCCATACCTAGTTAATATCTCTAAACACATACTTAGAGCGTCCTTTACCTCTCTACGGTTTCAATCAATGCCAACAGCAGTTTTGGAAGGCCGATTCAATCAAACTCCACTGGCCCATCATCTGTGTATTTGTGGTTCCCACGAACTTGAGGATTTACCTCACTAGATTCTCTTTTGCCCCTTGTATTCTAGACCAAGGGCTAAATTTTTAGCAGGTATTTTATCTGGTCTCAGAGCTTACCCAGTTGAGGAAAAAATTTCATTTTTGTTATCCGACATTGACGCATATGTCTCTTATAAAGTTTCATTATTTGCCCTTGCTGCAAAGAATATACGTTCCAAGGTGTCATCGGGAAGGGGCATTATTTAGGCTACTGTATTAAATTACTCATATTTTGTTTCTGATCTATGATATTTTGTATATTCTGACTTTTAACCTATAGTTTGTTCACAGTTTGTGTTTTCTAATTTTGTAACGGCCCATGGCTAATTACAATAAACTAAACTGTACTAAGAAGGAGTTGCGGTGGCTCAAGTGGTTAAGACGCTGAACTGCAGGCTGTGGAAGGTCAGTAGTTCAGCAGTTTGAGACCCGAGTGCCGCATGATGGAGTGAGCTCCCATCTCTAGTTCCAGCTCCTGCCAACCTAGCAGTTTGAAAGCAAGGAATTGCAAGTAGATAAATAGGTACCGCTTCGGTGGGAAGGTCACAGCGTTTCGTGCGCCTTGGTGTTAAGTCATGCCGGCCACATGACCACGGAAACGTCTTCGGACAGCGCTGGCTCTTTGGCTTTGAAACGGAGATGAACACCGCAACCCTAGAGTCGGATTCGACTGGCTTTCGAGCAAGGGAACCTTTAGCTTTAAACTGTACTAAACTGTAAACTAAGTAGATAAGCTTATAAACCCTGGACAATCTTTTATGGAGATAGATCAAGACGGGTAGCTGTGCTAGTCTGTCTGTAGCAGTAGAAAAGAGCAAGAGTCCAGGAGCACCTTCAAGACTAACAAAATATGTGGAAGGGTGTGAGCTTTCGTGAGTCACTGCTCGCTTCTTCAAATACAGCTAGAATAGAAATCCATCTGACCCGATACCTTGGGAGAGTGGAGAGATTTTAGATGCCGAAAGACATTAGCAGGCAAATGACAATAGTAGGTGAATGACAATAGCAGGTATATGATTGGATTTAGGTGAGATATGCAGAGGGGTAATACATGTGGAGCATTGGTCATGAGACAGGAAACCTAGGTCTCAATTCAGTCCAGGGGGACGCATTGTCTTTAGCTTCATTATCAGTTGCAGTTCAGCAATCTCTCTTTCTAATATCGTCTTTCAAAGGCATTTCAAATGGAGATTAGAAAGAGAGACTGCTGAATTGCAACTGATAATGACGCTCAAGACAATGCATCCCCTTGGATTCAATCGAGACCTAGGTTTCCTGTCTCATGACCAATGCTCAGTGGAGGCACAGACTAGGATGCTCCCATGTGGCCTCTTTTGGGTCTCACTTCAGCATATGATTCTGTTCGGGTCTTGGATCTCAGGCTTTCACATCACCTACTGCCTGGTCATTTTAACCGGAGATGGCGGGATTGAACCTGCGACCTTCTGCATGCCAGACAGAGGTCCCGAGTTGTGGGAGGATTAGGAGATGAAAAGCAGTGGCTTGAATTTTGCCAGGAAGGATGTCAGCACGGCTAGGCACGTACCCCGATTGTTTTGTGCAAACATGGAAAGGATCCCAAAACCGGCTTCTCTTTTGTCAAGCGAGTTTCTAGTCCTTATTGGGCAGAGAGAGGTTTGCCAGTGGGTAAGTGATGCCAGTTGAGATCTCAGAACCAGGGCAGCTGGGTTTCTGGAGGTGGGCTTCTGGAGTTCTGTCTCGCTTATTTGCTCTGCCGGTAGCCCGAAGTAGCAGCGTTGATCGTGCAGGGCGATTTATTTATATGCTGCTTTGCTCCCGAAGGCCAGGACTCAAAGCGGCTTACAAATGTTGAAGGCACAGAAGGACTCAGAGGAGCAGAATCGCTTAAAACTCGAACACATCAAAACGTATATTGCTCACGCCCCCCATGACCACAAAATTTTAAAAAGGGGGGAGATTAGTGACAAAGGCTGTATGACCAAGAAACCACCCGCAGAGACGAGAAAAAGAAATCAGCCAAGAAGAAGAGGAAGAGATTGGATTTATACCCCGCCCTTCACTACCCAAGGGAATCTCAGAGCGGCTGACAATCTCCTTTCCCTTCCCCTCCCCACAACAGACACCCTGTGAGGTAAAAGAAGAAGAGAAGAGATTGGATTTATACCCCGCCCTTCACTACCCAAGGGAATCTCAGAGCGGCTGACAATCTCCTTTCCCTTCCCCTCCCCACAACAGACACCCTGTGAGGTAAAAGAAGAAGAGAAGAGATTGGATTTATACCCCGCCCTTCACTACCCAAGGGAATCTCAGAGCGGCTGACAATCTCCTTTCCCTTCCCCTCCCCACAACAGACACCCTGTGAGGCAGGTGGGGCTGAGAGAGCTCTGACAGGAACTGCTCTTTTTTCAAGGACAGCTCTTATCAGAACTGTGGCTTGCCCGAGGTCATCCAGCCAGGTGCAAATGGAAGAGTGGGGAATCAAACCCGGTTCTCCCAGATTAGAGTCCGCGCACTTAACTAAAACACAAAAATTAAGAACAGGGGAAGAAAAAATATAGATAAGGTGATATGGTGGGGAGGACTGAGTGGCTGAGCCTCGGCTTGGCGTGCAGGAGGTCCCAGGTTCAATCCCCAGCATCTCCAGTTTAAAAAGGACCAGGCAGGAGGTGATGGGAAAGACCTCCACCTGAGACCCCGGAGAGCTGTAAAGAGGGGCTGTGGCTCAGTGGAAGAGCCTCTGCTTGGCATGTTGAAGGTCCCAGGTTCAATCCCCACCATCTCCAGTTAAGAGGGATCAGGTGATACATGATGTGAGAGACCTCTGCCCGGGACCCTGGAGAGCTGCTGCCGGTCTGAGTAGACAACACTGACGTTTGTGGACCGATGGTCTGATTCAGTATAAGGCAGTTTTGTGTGTTCACATGTTCATGTGATTTGATCTAGAACAGGGGTGTCGAACTCATTTGTTATGAGTGTCAGATTTGGCATAAATGAGACCTTGTTGGGCCGGGCCGTGTGCGTCATAAAACGTAATGCCAGGGAGCGAAGATATTTCTCCTATATAATAAAGCTGTTTTGGTGTGACTCCTGGACACGCTCCCACAGCCCTTGGCCCGCTCGGCTGCCACTTTTGAGGACTCCCAATCCCCTGGCTGCATTGCCTTGCTGCGTTGGCTCGGCCCCGCCCACAGAGCTGGCAGACAGCATCTCGCTCTCAGTCTGGAGGGAGCCGGCGAAGGGGATGGTCACTCCGTCGAGGGAGCAGCAGCCCCTCTACGGGGGAGAAAGAGGCAGACCTAGCGAGTGGCAGCAAGCAGGGGAAGCACTCATAATTACAATTGCTCTCTAGGAGGGAGGGGGAGGAGATGGAGAGCTGAAGCAAGGGGGCAAATAACAGTAGGTTGATGGTTGGCTGGGAGGGAGATAGGGTTGCCAACTCCAGGTTGGGAGATTCCTGGAAATTTGAGGGGTGGAGCCTGGAGAGGGTGAGGTTTGAGGGGGGGTGGGACCTCAGACAGGTACAATGCCACAGACTCCACCCTCCAAGCCAGCCATTCCCTCATGGGAAACCATTGTTGCTAATCTCCAGAGGGGGGATGGAGATCACGCTGAATTACAACTGCTCTTCAGATGGCAGAGATCAGTTCCCCTGGAGAAAATGGTGGACTCTGTTTCATTGTACCCTGCTGCGGTCACCACAGCAGATTGACGCTGAGTGCCCAAGGCCAGGGTACTCTCCCAGAGCCTCTTTCTAGAGCTCGTTGTGTTTATTTCCACAACGGGCCTTATTCCTAGTAAACTTTATAAAGGACACAAACACAAAGGTTTTTTTTAACTTAAAATAAAACATGCTTAAAACATTACCACTCTTGCAATATTTTGTTTATTTAACAAGTCTGTTAACTGACACCTCTTGCTCTGAATTATTGCATCAAAATGTCTGTGCCGTCGCAATCTTGAGTACACTGTTCAGGTGTGTATCTGTAAGCTGCAATCCTACGATGATGCAGCAGCAGCAGAATTGGAAGAAGAAGCAGAAGACAGCCAGTTTCACTGCGGGCCTGATTGAAGCCCTCCGGGGGCCTGATCCGGCCCACTTGTTTGACACCCCTGATCTAGAACATGCAGGTCCAAGTAATATCCAGCCTCTCCCTTCCCCAGTTCCAGGTCTTTATATCATCTTTAGGCAGGGGCGGAATTGTGGCTCTGCAGGTCAAACGAGGAGC